TTCGATTACTGAAGAGCTGGTAAAAGCTTTACAAGCACTTCAGCCTTCCGCACCCGGCATACCGGCGCCACCCCCGACTCTACCACCGGTACCGGCACAGGCACAGGCTATTCCTAACACTGCCAGTCCTCGGCTCGCCTTCCCGGAGAAATTTGATGGATCTCCAGATAAATGTAAGGGATTCTTACTTCAATGTTCTATGTTTGTCAATCAACAACCCATGCTATATCCTTCAGATGAGAACCGCATCGCATTTGTGTGTTCACTTCTCACGGGGAGAGCGTTGGAGTGGGCTACCGCCGTATGGAATGAGGATAGACCAACCTTTCCTTCGTTCAGGGATTTTATTCAACGCTTCAAAGAGGTGTTTGAGCACTCCGTTGGAGGAAAGGAGGCGGGTGAGCAATTATTATCTCTCCGGCAAGGAAGGGGTTCGGCAGCGGATTATGCGTTATCTTTTCGTACTCTCGCAGCTCAGACGGGATGGCCCGACGATCCTCTCAAGCTCCACTACCGTAAAGGCTTATCTATGGAGTTGCAGTCGGAACTTGCCTGTCGTGACGAGGGACTGTCACTGGAGAAGTACATCGATTTGTCCATCAAGATCGACAATCTCCTTCGATCTCGTCGCACTAACCGTCTGCACACTTCCCCCATGACATTTGCAACAGTCAACTCAGATGTAGAATCCATGCAAATTGGTGTTACACGTATCAGTGAGGAAGAGAGAGAGAGACGCATTCGACAGAGCCTATGTTTGTACTGTGGATTACCGGGACATTTAAGAGCAACTTGTCCTACCAGACCATCCCGCAATTCCACTGTGGTGAGTTCAATTCCCAAACCCACTACTAGTTTTGAGATTGCTATTAATCTGGAGATAAATGGGAGGGTCATTGAGACGTTGGCATTAATTGACTCAGGGGCTGCAGGAAACTTCATCGACATGTCTTTTGCGAGAAATAATAATATTCCCCTTGTTCCTTACGATTCTCATTTGGCAGTCGCAGCGCTAGATGGCCGACCTCTGGGCTCCGGTCGCATCAAATTCACCACTGAAGATCTACAGTTGAGCACTGGAGTTCTCCACACTGAATCCATCCGTCTGTTTGTTTTTCAATCACCACAAAATCCCATCATCCTCGGACTTCCATGGTTAGAGCTTCACAACCCTTCTATTTCCTGGACTAAGAAACAAATCACTCAATGGTCAGATTTCTGTCTTCATAATTGTCTTCACAACTTGCCTGTCAAAAAGGGGACCGAGACTTCCTTAACCGAGGTACTTCCCAGTGTCTATCAGGATCTAGCCGAGGCATTCAGCAAAATGAAAGCATCACACTTACCACCACACCGAGCCAGTGACTGTGCCATAGATCTCCTCCCAGGATCACAACCTCCCAAGGGCAGAGTCTTTCCGCTGTCACAACCTGAAGCAGAGGCTATGAGATCCTACATTCAGGAGGAACTCAGCAAAGGTTTCATTCGTCCTTCCACGTCACCCGCATCAGCTGGCTTCTTCTTCGTCAAAAAGAAAGATGGAGGTCTTCGTCCCTGTATTGACTACCGATCTCTCAATGCCATCACCACCAAGTTTCGTTACCCTCTACCTCTCGTTCCGGCAGCTCTTGAACAACTCAGACAAGCAAGATATTTCACCAAGCTGGATCTTCGTTGTGCCTATAATCTCATCCGTATTCGTGAGGGGGACGAATGGAAGACTGCTTTCTCCACCACGACAGGGCACTACGAATATCTCGTTATGCCATTCGGATTGTCCAATAGCCCTTCCGTGTTTCAAGCTTTCATTAACGACGTGTTCAGAGACATGTTGAACCAATGGGTAATTGTTTACATCGATGACATCCTCATTTACTCTGAGACTTATGAGGAGCACGTTAAACACGTCAGAGCGGTTCTCAAACGTCTCATTCAACATCAATTGTACGCCAAGGCAGAGAAGTGCGAATTCCACCAAGAGACCATCTCCTTCCTCGGATATGTGATTAGCTCGGGAGGGGTCGCCATGGACGACAAGAAGGTACAGGCAGTAGCTCAGTGGTCCCAACCTACTACTCTCAAGGAACTGCAACGCTTCTTGGGTTTTGCCAATTTCTATCGGCGGTTCATCCGTAACTTCAGCAGTATCGCTGCCCCCATGACATCCATGATCAAGAAGGGAACCCAACGACTAACCTGGTCCTCAGCAGCTTTAGCAGCATTCAGTGAACTAAAAGAGAGATTCACAACCGCTCCAATTCTACACCACCCAGATCCTGAACGTGAATTCATAGTTGAAGTAGACGCTTCTAGCACGGGCATTGGGGCAGTGCTTTCACAACGCCAGGGGGAACCTCCCAAGCTGTTTCCCTGTGCGTTCTTCTCCCGTAAATTAAATCCTACCGAGCAGAATTATGATGTTGGCAATCGCGAACTTCTCGCAATGAAGGCGGCATTCGAGGAGTGGCGCCACTGGCTGGAGGGGGCTAAACATCCGTTCACTGTACTCACTGATCATCGTAACCTCGAATATCTGAAATCAGCCAAACGACTCAACCATCGACAAGCCAGATGGTCACTCTTTTTCACCAGATTTGATTTCAGAGTTACGTATCGTCCAGGCTCGCAAAATACCAAGGCAGATGCACTCTCTCGACTTTATGAGTCAGATCTCCTATCGCCAGATCAAGAACCCATCATTCCATCCACCATCATTCTCGCACCTGTGCAGTGGGATATATTAACTGAGATCGCGGAAGCCCAAGTCACCGAACCTCCACCGGCTGAAACCCCACCTAATCTTATGTACGTTCCACTGGCCCTAAGACAGAGAGTATTACAAATGGTACACACTAACCCAAGTTCCGGTCATCCAGGTATAACAGCTACTTTACAACTCCTCAACAACAAGTTCTGGTGGTCTTCTATACGAGCGGACACCATCACGTTCATTCAAAATTGCACCATCTGCAATACCTCTAAATCTCCACATCAATTACCTGCTGGGCTTCTTCATCCATTACCCATCCCACAAAGACCATGGTCACACATCGCCATCGACTTCGTGACGGATCTTCCTCTCTCTCAGGGTCACACTACCATTCTCACGGTAATTGATCGTTTCTCAAAAGCCTGCAGACTGATACCTCTTCCCAAGCTTCCCACTGCCCTGGAAACCGCTGAGGTCCTCTGCAACAATGTGTTTCGATTCTACGGTCTACCGGAGGATATAGTCTCTGATCGGGGTCCACAGTTCACCTCCCGAGTCTGGTCCGCTTTCTGTCAGCTACTGAACATTAATGTCAGTCTAACCTCTGGATATCATCCTGAAGCCAATGGTCAAGTAGAGAGATTAAACCAGGAACTCACCCGCTTCCTTCGCTCATATTGCCAGAAGAATCAGTTCGACTGGAGTCGCTATCTGTTATGGGCTGAGTACGCTCAAAATTCACTTTGTAAGCCGTCTACAGGGCTCACCCCCTTTCAGTGCATCCTAGGTTTCCAACCCCCATTGTTTCCATGGTCTGGAGAACCCTCAGACTTACCCGCAATCAATTCATGGTTACAACGCAGTGAGGAGACGTGGAATAGTGCTCATGTCCATCTACAAAGGGCAGTGCATCGCACCAGAGGACAGGCCAATCGACATCGGCGTACCAATCCCAACTACCAACCAGGGCAATGGGTTTGGTTGTCCACCCGAAACATACGGCTCCGGTTACCTTGCAAGAAGCTCAGTCCCAGGTACGTGGGTCCTTTCAGAATCATCAGACAAATCACTCCAGTTTCATTTAGATTAGCCTTACCTGACCATTACCGTATCTCACCCACCTTTCATGTCTCCTTGCTCAAGCCCGCTGGTGGTCCGAGTGGAGAGGAGGGCCTAGACGAGGCTGGTGACCAGAGAGCTCCTCCCATCATCATCGACGGTCAGGAGGCTTACCGGGTCCATGAAATCCTGGACTCTCGTCGTCGGGGCAGACTCCTTCAGTACCTCGTGGACTGGGAAGGATACGGTCCAGAGGAGAGATCCTGGATCAACGCTAATGACGTTCTAGACCCTTCACTCACTAGTGATTTCCACAGAGATCACCCGGACAAACCTGCCCCAAGATCTCGAGGAAGACCCCGGCGTCGTTTGCCTCCTCGCGTCAGGAGCCGCTCACAGGGGAGGGGCTCTGTCACGAATACAGCCTCTGTGGCGCCCTCCACTCACCACCAGAGGTCAGCATCTCCGGAGTACTAATTCCCTTGGACTGCAAATCCCATAATCCCCGTACCTGTGGCTGATTTGTCTCACAGGTGTTTCCCATTCACTCTCTCTATTTAAACTGTTCTCTCAGCCTCATCATTGCGAAGTCTTGTCTTGCCATGCATACATTTCTGAGCGTTTATTCCGTGTGTGATTTCCCGTGTATGACCTGGACTGTTTATTGGACCTTGAATCTTTGCTGCCTGCCTGTTCTGATTGCATCTGCCTTGTTGTTCGATTACCCTGTGTGTTTGCCGCCAGCCCTGATCCTCAGCCTGAACTCTGACTTTGATTCTGCCTTATCAACACTGTTATTGAAGCCTGTGATTGACCCTTGCCTGTTTGACGTGAATTCTGTTCTAATAAAGCTGCATATGGATTCTCAAGACAATGCCTCCCCGTTACAAGAACCAACTTTATTTGTGATGAATGAACCACTTGATGAATTATCAACAGGATGAACCAGATTATTTCCGAGGAACTGTACTTTTGCCATTTTTTTCCGCTTACAGGGGTTGGCAAGTGTTATCATGTCAAAACATTATGCATAGAATGTAAAAAAAAAAAGAGAATTTGCCCACCCAAATACCAATACCAATACGTAAAAAATTTGTCTTACCCAGACCCTCCAACATGCATGGTAGCACAGAAAAGAAAACTTCTATCATCAAGAGATTTCATGAGGTCTTTACGTTTTCAGGAACAGACTGAACTCACCACACTGGAATCAGTGACTGTGTAAAGTTACCTGTGTAACCTCAATGGGATACGGTCCAGGCCTGTTCTCCTCAAGATCAATGGTGGACATAATCCATCTTCTCTTTGAACGAATAAGAACAGCTTCCTTTGAGATAGAAAGAGATATATTGAGTGATGATCAGTTTCTTTTCTGATTATGCACAGTAAAGCTTAATAAGTCTAATCTACTCAAATTAATTGAGGAAACGCATTCCCCGAATTTTAATTTAGTAATAGTGCCTAACAAAACTTGTTTCAATCTTCCCATTGAATTAACTTAAATATTTAAGAACAGATAACATAAAAAGCAAGTAGACTTAACAAAAATTGTATGCTACATAGTAATAACAATAATAACAAAATAATAATAATAATAAGGAAATTAAAAATACATTTAAAAACATGTCAGTAAAATTCCATTATTTTGATGGTTGAAAATATGTGTTTGTTTTTTACAGTGCAATTACTTTAAACTATAAAGCATTAAGCTCAACAGATCCTGAGTGACCTTGTATAACTCATTGGACCCAATATGGGAAGACATTATGGATTAAGTCTGATGATTTTGTCTGATTTTCTAAATCTCCAGTTTGAATGTGTCTTTCAAAAATACATATTTCTATCTCTATGTTTCTGTATATGTCTCTGTATTTGTCTCTGTATTTATGTTACAGGATGTAATACATATGTATTCTATGAACAAAGTCTTGTTTTATGATCTGGTGACAGGTGGGAATTTGTTGTTTTAAGGGACATGTTCTATCAAGACAGTGAGCTGCTGAGACAGATTACCTACCCGCTTTTCACGATTGCTGGTATCATTTTTGCTGGAAGCGGTCACTTCAACAAGCTGATGAATAGACAAAAAACAGGATAATGCTAAGTGAAAAACATACAATCAATAGTGATAGACCATCCCTCTCAACACCTGAGGTTTTATTGGTGTGTAAATATTTGTACATAATACACTATTAACATCCTACGGAAGCCCTAAACCGCAATCTAAAAAAAAAGTTAAAAAAAAAAAAATCTAGCATTTCGAGATTAAAGTTGAAATTTTTCGACTTTAATCTTGAAACATTTCGACTTTAATCAACAACAAAAAAATCAAAAAAAAAAAAAAAAAATCTAGCATTTCGAGATTAAAGTCAAAACGTTTCGAGAATAAAGTCGAAATTACAAACGCACCTGGCTTCATTGACGTGTAAACACACTACAGCCCTGCGGCCTGCGCCAGCAGCCAGTGTATCAGTTGAACTGGGAGGTCGAAAACTTGCAACATCCATCAAGTATGCTTATAGCCTCCTATACTATAACTATTTTAGAAAACCTTTACACATTTGTGTAAGTTTGATGGCGTTGCACAAGGTGTAGCCTACACGATGGCGTTGCGGGTAAAATGTATTGCACTATGCTGCAATCGTGTGGGAACTTAGCTACCTTACGGTAACGTTAAACATCACTAAACAAGAGATATAATTGAAACATGAAGCAGATAGGCCTACTGGAGTTTTCAAACTGCAGATAAAAAAAAATTCCTTGCGATCAAGCAAAAACTTGCGCCTCAACAGAAAGTATCCCAAACCCTGCTTGCCACCCCGTGATTATTTTTATTTATTAAAACCAAATCTAGATTTAAACTAAAAGAGTGACCTAACTGATTTGGATTATTCTTATTCAAAATGAGATGATCACGTGTGCGTTATGTAGCTCTCATGTAGTGGAACTTCAATAGTTGAAGCCTCAGGTCGTTCTCAAACACAACACCAAAAACGCTCTTGTTGAAGTAATGATTTATGATGTTCCAGTAAATCGCTTAAATGAAAGCAAAAGAAAAAAAAAATCACCCACCTAAGTTGAATAAAGAGCAGAAACCTTTTGAAACATGAGGAAAATGAACACATTATGTGATAATATATGGTTTGTGTGTGTTTTTCAGACCATCTTGGGGCATTTCCATATTTCTATCAAAAATGCAGAGCAATAATTGAATAAAATTCATGATGACTTAATGCACAAAAATTTGCAGTAGCCTACATACACCAATCATAACATTTTCATTTGGACAATAAGTAATATATAATTGAATACAAATAATTTGTTATTGTTCAGCAGATAATTTGATTTACTAGCTAATTAAAAGCAAGAGATAAGAAAAAATAAATAAAAACCTGTCAAGACAAGTCAAGTATTATACTTGGCATTTCTGTCTGTTTCACATGCAACAGGTCAAAAAATGTTGAATACCTCTATTTTCCCCACTAACCTTTAAAATTATTTTTTATCTATCCTATTTGAATACAACTCTTTTGTACTCTACTTTGCAGACCCACAATGGAGGAAATAGACTTTTGGGGAAAAAAAATTTAAAAAAATAAAAAGCGCAAAAAAGAAGATGCGTTTAATAAAGAGTAGTGACCCTTACACGTTTTGTCTATCAAGATAATCTTTAAAAGTTAATCCAAAATTTACATTTTGAAGCCTATATAAAGATTTTAAAAAACACAATCAGACACAATAAAGTTTAAAAAAAACACTTTGTTCACCACAGACCTTATTTTAGTCAATTTAGCAAAAACCCATTCAAAAATCCCATAGGCTTTAGAGCGAGGGAACCGGTAGGGCTAAAATGCTAACTCATTTCGGCGGTTCGGCCGACAGAGTGACGTCGTAACTTCGGCACTCTATTTGAGATGTAGTTCAGTTATGGCAGCAGAAAAAGATGCCACGAAGCCATTCGGTCCGATATACCGAATATATGGTGACAGGATTGCCCTGATACATTTTTGCAGGCAGCAGTCACCATCTGTGAAGCGGAAGCAAGAGAAATTAAGAGATAAAATGAAGCTTAGAAGGGAGGAAAATAAAGATAAGGAGGTGCCACAAACCTCAAACAAAAAAGCAAGCAGCAAAGCCAAACCATGCATGCGAAATATTGTGTCATGAATATGAAGGAGAGAACCCAGATGCAGATGAAATGCAGACACTGAACGTTTATTATTACTTAAACAGAAAACAAAAACCCACGATGGGGCAAAACAAGACAGGATAACATACACTAGACTAAGACGGTTAACTCACAGCTAAGACAAGATAAATGCTTCTTACAAAACGAGACGCTCAACTGGTGACTTACAGCTTGACTCTCACAAAGATTGACAAGGTAAAGGCGGGCATACACTGTGCGATTTTCGTCCGACTTTGAGACGAATTCTGACTTGTGCGACTCTTTTTCGTGTCGGACCGATTTTCAGCTTTGTCGTGTGTCGTTTGTCGTGCAGTGTTCGTGCAGTGTACAGGGAGAAACGAGAGGCGATTAACCTCTCACGATCGACAATCGGATGGTCGGATGAATTTCTGGCATGTCAGATATTTTGGTTGCTCCTCGTGACTATATCGCACAGTTGAAGCAAATTACGAACCGATTGCGCTAAACTCAGTGTTTCCCTCACTGCACCTGCGCGAAAACAGAAGTTTAACCATTTCATCTGCAGCAAAAATAAAATTAAAATAAAAACGAAAAGAGGGAGATCTTTAAGTTCTGTAGTTCAAATTAGCAACAAATTTCTGTTGATTACCTCCAGTTCGTGTTGCAAAATGGATAATATTACCCACATCTTCCAAGCCACCTGCGATGTAACGCCTCTTTTCATTGATGACAAATTATGGCAATGTTCGGACAGACTGTTAATAGTTATTTTATATGCCTATAATTCATTGTAATCGACCTAAATATTTTAGACAATTTTTAATGAGGAGTAAGATTATGTAATATTTTATTATCCTCGCAGCATGTTGGTTATGTGCTGTGAAAATATTGCGTGGCAAATTAATTATAATAGCGTATCAATTTAATAATAAAATTAGCCTATAGGCCTCCCCTAATAATGATAATACAATAATATACTAATAATAATTAAATGCATAAATTGAAAATTCTAAATTATCTTGATATTGATAGCAGATGCTTCTTTTAACAATATCTCTGGATACATACACGTAAATGAGGCTCAATCCAGGGGGTTATCGCAGATATTACACGTATAGTGTGAGCAGTGAAGTCGCAGCTCGACGATCGGACCGTACAGTGTGAGCACATAAATCCTGAACTTTGCCTTTGCATCACATGCGATTTACTTGTTGAGTGTGAGTAAGTACCTTGCTGACATCGCGCTGACATCGCGCTGACATCGCGCAGTGTATGCCCGCCTTAAGATAGACAATGTACCGACACAGGACAGCAAACACAAGAGGATTAAATAGGGAGAAACTAATGAGGGAAACAGGTGACACTAACAGGGCAATCATGACTAAACAAGGATAACAAGGGGGCGGGGTTACGAGACGAGACAATACAAGCACATGGCCCAAACAACAGACCATGCACTTGTACAGAAAACATGGTTCTGCCATGATCCTGCCACAAGACTAGGAAAAATCAGCGACATGATGGCAGAATCATGACATATTGAAATTGGATGACTTCACAAAGAAAAAAAACGGGATGAAACAGGTTAGAGCAATTAAGGTGGGGGGACTAGAAAACTAAAGATAAATGTTCAGGCAGAATATAATGAGATTCTAAAAGAAGGAAAGTTATTATTCTTTCACAATGGAGTTTCCACCAATGGTCAAGAGTCTGATTTTGAATTCGAAGTTTGGGACTTCAAGCAAAATCTTCTCCCCAAGGATCTCTCCATCGGAACAATTTACAATACTGTCAAACTCCCAATGTTGCGTTTCTATATAGCGACTCATCCAAAAATTAACCTGACTGAAGAGTCTAGTGAATCTAGTGATGAACCTGACCATGCTAGTGATATCTCAGATTCAGATTCGACAAAAGGTGATGACATGGATACTCACAACTATGAGCAACTAGAGAATGAGCCTCAAGACATCTTTCCTGATGTGTTCTTGGTTTCTGATGAAGAGACAAGCATACATTCCTCACAAGACCATCTTGCAAGCATTGATTACATTTGGTCTACAACACCATATTGATGGAGATTCTCTTAGTGACACAGTGATCCATGAGCCTTTTGACTCACCACAGAGTGCTCCTAATGCTTTGCCGAACAGAAATGTAACCATACACTATTCAAATAGCTTCAGTGACCTGATGGAGGCATTTTCTGACCACAAGATTGTCAACAAGTCCGTGACAGTGAGACGTATACTTCCTAACAACTCAGAGGAAGCAGGCAGTGGTCCAGGTGTCCTTCGCGATGTGTACAGTAGCTTCTGGTCTGATTTCTATGAACACTGCATTGTCGGGACATCTTTAAAAGTGCCTTTCCTCAGGCATGACTTCAGCTCTGACAAATGGAAGGCTATGGGGCGTATCCTTCTTAAAGGGTTTAAAGATTGCAAATACCTTCCTATAAAGCTTGCTTGAGGAAATGATGTTTGGGGCTGTATATACAGACCTAAAGGGAGCATTCCTTAATTTTGTGAGCTGCCAGGAAGGAGATGTTCTCAATCAAGCACTCAATGACTTTTCCTCTGTTGACATGGATGATCTTCTGGACTGTTGAAGTTACCAGCACAAATGTCAGAAAATCAAGCAGAGGTTGCCAACCACCTGAAAAGGTACATCAGGGAAATTGACGAAGAAAAACTCTGCAAATTTCTGAGAATCTGTACTGGTTCCAATTTAGTGGTTTCTGAGGCAATTCATGTACAGTTTACAGTCCAGACAGACTTTACCAGAAGGCCGATTGGACATACCTGTGGCATGGTCCTAGAACTCTCTGACTCATATTTCGAGATTCAAGTCGAAAAATTTCGACTTGAATCTCGAAATGCTAGATTTTTTGTTTTGTTTTAGGTTGCGGTTCAGGGCTTCTT